CGAGTGGGCGACAGTGGAGACACGAATCAAAAACTCGGAGCTGCTATCGGAGCTTTGCAAGGCTTTTGATGATTTCTGTTTAAAAGTGCTTGCTTGCCGCCCGCAGAATAGTAGTATACCATGTAGGAAACGAAAATTGGAGTGTACTTGACGAAGATGAATTGGAATAATGGAGATTATTTACTGATTCGGATATTTGTGTTTTGAATTCCCAGGATTGTTCGCGTGGATAATGATGTTTGTGCGAGCCGTGTGTGAATGTGAGGTATTGTTTTTCAATGATATTTGAGTGTGAAGAGCAAACGCTACAGATTGTATTTCATAATTACAGGAATGATCAAGCGGCATGTATTAGAGTCCGATGAACTGAAGATCAGTTCAGAAGACAAAGGATTTTCTAGTCTATTGTGTGTGTGTGTGTGTGTGTGCATTTATTAAATTGATTTCAAGCTGCATACAACGCCTTCCGACTGCTGTTCAGACAGTCATCAGTAGGTAGGTTCAAAAATATTAAGTAGGAGAACAGTCGAAATTACTATTCGTCTTCTTTTTTGTGTACTCAAAAAGTGAGTATTGTGTACTCAAAAAGTGAGTACACTCTAGAATCGGTTAGTATGCCCGGCCGTTAACACGATAACTTTTGAAAGCCTCATCCAATTGTCATGAAATTTTGTACACAGAATGATCTCATCAATATCTCAGTCGAGTTCGAAGATGAGAAGGATCCGTCAAGAAATGGCTGAGTTACAGCAACAAATATCATTATTGTCTGAGGTTTTCTATGTAAATATTGACTTATTCCAATTTTCGCAAATCAAATTTTTTTTGTTTCAAAGCTACTATAAATTTTCGAGACTGAAGAATTCGAGTCTGAGCTCTATTTCGCTCGAAACCCAATTGGTCAGCCAGGAACCAATCAGAAACGAGTTTTTTAAAAAACGGTTGCTTATAGGTAATTTGACCTGCGGAGTTCGGATTTGAACTTTATTCGCCTCAAAACCCTATTGGTTGGAGGGGAACCAATAGAAAACGACTTTTATGAGAAATGGCCTCCAACGCGTTGTGCCGATATTGATGGCACGCTTCGATGATTCTCCTTCCTTCTCTTTCTGTTCTCTTTCCATTGTTCTAATGTATCTCTCTTCTATCTCTCTCCTATCTCTCTCCTATATATACGTGCGTTATGTATGAAGTTGTTACACTCTGGAGATGTCAGATGACACAATACACCATCATGCCGACGGGCATAGGCGACACTCTCTAGTTTTGTCGTTACACTCTGGATAACTTGAAGTAGCCTAATAAACATCTTTGCCGAGAGTGGCACAAGCTAATCTAATCGAGTTGTTCGTTACATCAGTGCTATTTAAATTTATTCTTATATCAATTATAATCAGATAAATTATCTTTGTTAGGTATCGTACAACACATGAAAGCGACTGATGAGAACTACGTAGTAATATTTCAAAGCTATCTCTTACCGAACGTGAAAATATGAAATGCTTTTTCTTTGACTTTTGTACATTGCCATCATAGTCTTCTCTATTCCTTATCTACTCGATGATAATATGGATATGACTCGTTGTCGTTGGATGTCATTCTAGCTTTCTCCCATCTCACTTTATATGAGCTATTTGTCTTTATCAATCTTTACAATAATAAATGATATATTCAAAGACTATCCAACAAAGTAAATATTTAATTCTTAATTTATATTAATTTTCGATCAAATAAATTGTGAACCAATCAAAAGTGCCAAGAAATGAAGATATTTACTATTTGGATAGCCACTCGCGAACAACTTGCCATTTGAAAATTGTAAATCTTTTCAAAGATAAAATACATCGTCATATTATCTGCTGAGCTCTTTACCAAAATTAAAAGGAACGTTTCATGTTCTATCGCAAACATATATTCAACGTTATTCTTCATACATACCTGTTCATTATTGTATTTTGTATTATTTACATAGATATTTCAGTTGTCTTTATTATTTCACTGGAATGAGATGAATTTCAATTATCTTTGAAACCATAGCGAATAAAACAAAATGATTTCCGTAGTCTACTTACGCTCAAATTACGAATTCAACGTTTGATGAATGCTTGGGTTTGATCTGTTATCCAGTCTGCTTGTTTTGAATTACTTTGTGAAAGTTATCGATTTTAAAATAATATTATTTCTTCTCTTCAATTTTTTTTGTCTTTTCTTCAAACGAAAGAAAGAAATAATACTATAAAAATGAAAAGAAAACCAAGTCAACAAGCCATGTATAATATACTGTGTATATATTCTCGACTCATTTGAAGTAAGAATCGGTCGGTGCACTCCCAAAGGAATGGGTTTTCAAAACTTAGACGATCAAAAAGAGATCTATTCATTACTTATTGCTCTCTAAGACTCACATTTGGAACACAAAACATTTCTTAATTTGAAAGTCTACCATGTGAACTGTAGAGTAACAATAACTTGGTTTCGTAAGTTAAGATAAAATATCATTTGTTAGATCAGAAAACTAAAAGTTCATTGGCTAAACTCTAGATGTCGTATGGCGTCGACGAGTAATTACGAAACAATTAACAGATAAAAAGTACTTTCATTCCATTGGTTCTTTTTTTTATGACTGTTGCAAAATGCCAATGATAATGCATCAATCATTCTCTAATTATTTCTTGCGTTAGGTACGAAGAAAAAATCTTTGTAAAAACTTAAACATCATTACTGGAAAACTAAATCATGAAAGACGTAATTCGTCCTGTGGATCCTGCCACGTTAAAATCTCTAGTAAAACAATTTGATCATTTTCATATATAATTTTATTGTCTTTGTTCTGTCACGTAGACTCCATCAATTCGTACATTTGAGTTAAAAGAAGAATGTGGCATAAATAATCTTCCAAATCAAATCATGGCTAAAGCCATATCAGATGGATTCGTTTTCAATATACTTTGTGTTGGCGAAACAGCATGTGGCAAATCTTCATTACTTGATAGTTTATTTAACACACGATTAGATTCAACACCATCAACACATGATATTCCACGTGTGTTCTTACGTAAAAATACTTATGATTTATTTGAACGTGAAATTCGTTTAAAATTAACTGTTGTTGAAACAGCTGGTTTTGGTGATCAAATCAATAAAGATGATTCATTTAAAGTTATTGGAGATTTCATTGATTCACAATTTCAATCACATTTAGATGAAGAACTTAAAATTAAAAGAAATTTAGCGAACTATCATGATACACGTATTCATGTTTGTTTATATTTTATTAGTCCAACGGGTCATTCATTGAAAGCACTTGATTTAGTTACAATGAAACATTTAGATAGTAAAGTGAATATAATACCAATTATAGCTAAATCTGATACAATATCAAAACCTGAATTACAACGTTTTAAACAAAATATTCTCAATGAACTTAATACAGCTGGTGTAAAAATCTATCGATTTCCAACTGATGATGAAACATTAGCCGAAGAAAATCTTAAAGCAAATGTAAGAATGTAAAAATGAAGTGTTTGTAAAAACAAATATTTTCATATTTTAGAATCTTCTTCCATTGGCTGTTGTTGGAAGTAACGAAACAGTTAAAGTCGGTAATCAATATGTGCGAGCAAGACAATATCCATGGGGTGTTGTTCAAGGTTAGAAAAAAACCTCAATTTTTTACTACTAGTCTTTTGAATTTAGAAGTAAAGATACCGAATGAATCGCTCACAGAACCTATCCGATTGATATTGGAGGGGGAGGGGGGGGNCCCCCCCCCCCCCCCCCCCCCCCCCCCCCCCCCCCCCCCCCCCCCCCCCCCCCCCCCCCCCCCCCCCCCCCCCCCCCCCCCCCCCCCCCCCCCCCCCTCGGTTAAGTCTAGAATAAACAGTCGAAATTTTAACTTCACATTTGCCAATGTGACACACTTGCGATCTTAGTATTTTTTATCGATATTCTATTTTTATATTTTAGTTGAGAATGAAAATCATTGTGATTTTAAAAAATTACGCGATAGTCTTATTGAAAAAAATATGCTTGATTTAATTGAAACAACACATTCAAAACACTACGAAATGTTTCGACGCAATCGCCTTGGTGAACTTGGTCTTGCTGATAATGTTGATGGTAAACAAATGTCGATTAGTGACACTCTCGATATGAAACGTAATGATCTTCGACATGAACTTGAACAACGTGAACACACATTGAAAGAAGTGTTCATTCAGAAAGTTAAAGATAAAGAAGCTGAATTAAAAGAAACAGAAAAACAAGTAAGTAACAAATTTTTCTAGAAATCTGTCGTTTTTACTTTGCTTCATTTCAGATAAATGAACAATTAACAAACATTAAAAAGCAATATAAAGATCAAAAGGACAAATGTGATGAAAAATGGCGTATACTTGAACAAGAGATGAATTTATTCGAACAACGTAAACGTACCAATATGGAAACAATGAAAAAAGGCACAAAGAAGAAATAGAGTTCGTTGTTTTTTATTCACGTTTGTTCTCGACTTTTGGTTAAAGTTGTTAGATAATACGTATTCTATGCAATAATCTCTTTCACGCACGCTTTTTTTCTTCTTCTCTTTCTCAGGTTATCCTACCGAATGATCTTCCGAGAACAAATGTCAGATAAATTTATTTGCGCACATGAATGCTTTACAATTTTTTCACGTTGCTACTCTTATTTTTTAGAATACACTTTATCTGTGTGCGTTTTGGTGTTTTTTTTTTCGTCGTCCTCATATATATGTATACATCTTGTTCGATTTTTCTTTTCTCGACTCTGTAATAGATTTGTCGGCACATTCATTTTTTGTCCTCACGATAATTCTAATGTTATGTTATTCATAAAAAAAACAACAACATTCTATTTCATTTCGTTTTCATCCAACTGATTTCGAATTGCATAGGAACGAGATCTGAGAAGGAATAATTATTATTTTGTCGTCGTTCATTGAATTGAAAGCATGATTGATTGGTTTAATTTCTTTTCTCTAGATAATGAGTACTGACAATAATGATACTACGAAGTCTTCGTGCGTCTTTTTCAAAGCTCCGATTCGTCGTGGTAATGTAACAACAGCATCGAAACGTCGTCAAGACTCGCCATCGAATTCTTCATCATCGGCCGATGAAGATCAGCCATCAGCTTCGTCGCTTCGTTCAGTACGGCCAGTAAAAAAAGGTCTTGTTACAAAGAGTACCAGCAATCCATCGAATAAACGTCATCATCAAGAAAATGAGGACGATGACGATGAAGATAATGTTAGTACAAAGGAAAAATTACTTGACATAAAATTTAAATCTAATCGACAAACAGAATCATCAGCTCCAAAAGATATGGGTGCAACAGCTACTGTCGAAATTGATACTGACACTCAAGTTGACCAACAAGCTATATTTGAACGAGCGAAGAAAATCAATGATGAACAAAAAGGAAAAGTGGATGATAAAATATATCGTGGTATGAACAATTATCAACAATTTTATGAAAAAAAAGATACTGTACAAGGAAATGCAAGTAGTGGTTTAGTTAGAAATAAAGGTTTGTTTATTTTATTTTTTATTGCTGTTAAATTTTATATTTAGTTTTGTTTAGGACCCATACGTGCACCAGCTCATCTTCGTGTATCAGTTCGTTGGGATTATCAGCCTGATATTTGTAAAGATTACAAAGAAACAGGTCTGTCTTGATCAAAATTTTAAATAATAAAAAAAAATGAATTGTTTTAGGTTATTGTGGTTTTGGTGACAGCTGTAAATTTCTACACGATCGGTCGGATTATAAACATGGATGGCAATTAGAACGAGAATGGAACGATCAAACATATGGAAATGTCGATGATAACAGTCAAAAATATTTTGTGGGTGATAATAAAGGTGGTCATTCAAATCGTTCGGCTGCATGGAATGCTTTTGCTTCTGGTAAAGATCAACCTGATCATCATCATCATGACGATCAATCAGATGAAGAACATGTAAATACTTTTTTTTCATGATCAATAAATATTAAAAAAAAAGAAAATATTTCCGATATATTTAGGATGAAGATGGACTACCAATCCGTTGCCCGATTTGTAGAGAACCATTCCGAGAACCAGTGATAACCAAATGTGGACATTATTTTTGCGAGTCCTGTGCCTTGAGCCATTACCGAATCAATCCACTCTGTGGCGTTTGTCAATCTTCGACTGGTGGTACATTTAAGCCTGCCAAGGAAATTGTTGCTAAACTTAAGCAACAAAACAAATTAAAAGAAGAACTTGGACAAGCATCAGCATCATCAAATAATAATAATAACGATGATGATAAAAGTGACGACGAAGACAATGAGTAATTGTATATTTTTATTTTGTGCATTTAATAAAAGTATAAAATAATTTTTCTTTTAATTTTTTCTCAACCCTTGAACAATTAAACGTCGCTATTTTTAAATCATATTTTAATTGATTTATTTTTAAGTCAGTGAGCGCCAATTCAATTTTACTCTTGTGTCACGATAGGAAGTTTCTAATGAGAAACAATAAAATTCGTTAAAAATTTCATAAGCCGTCTGAAAATGAGCTAAGATTTCTTAATGTCTAGTCAGCATTGGCATACATTTCCCCTTTTTTTTTTGTTATTCTATCCCCTAGATTTTGACCAATAGAGAGTAAAGTAATACTTGTTCGTTCGTTCGTTCGTTTGAGCATTCTCATTCTATAATGACCGCGAACGGACGTTCATTCCGCCATTCTTTCCTTCTCTTCGATTACGAACAAAGGAAAAAGTCTCGATGAATGCCGTCCATTTTCTTGCTCGCCAATAAAAGAGAAAGAAAGAGAATTGCACTATCATTGTCTTTATATGATTCATAGTCTTTGTTCGGTAGGTACTGTTTTCTATTGCCATGTATTCATTCATTCTCATTTGATAGCGAATTCAAATGAAATGAAGTCGCATTTTGGCATGCAACGTGACGGTCTTTCTTTTTATTTTTCAGATAATTTTAATATTTCCTATTCATAACTAAAATGCCTGGTGGTAAAGCTGGTAGGTTTAATTAAATTTGTACTATTTCAATTTATTTTATTTTATCTGCATAGGTAAAGATCATGGAAAAACAAAGGCTAAATCGGTCTCTCGTAGTGCCCGTGCTGGTCTGCAATTTCCCGTCGGTACGTTTTGATTATTCTTTTGTTGTCGTGTTTAAGTTTTATCCATTGATCAGGTCGTATTCATCGTCATTTGAAGTCTCGTACAACTTCACATGGACGTGTTGGTGCAACAGCCGCTGTTTATACAGCTGCTATTCTTGAATACTTAACTGCTGAAGTACTCGAACTTGCTGGTAAAATATTTAACAAAATAAAATTTCAAATACCCAAAAAAATTCTTGTTTAGGTAACGCATCGAAAGATCTTAAAGTAAAACGTATCAACCCACGTCATTTACAATTGGCTATTCGGGGCGATGAAGAATTAGATACATTGATTAAAGCTACAATCGCTGGTGGTGGTGTTATTCCACATATTCATAAGGTTTGTTTAGATTTTTGTTTTTTTAAATTTGTTAATCGTCTTTTTCGTTCTAGTCTCTTATCGGAAAGAAGACACCCGTTCAAGGAAGTTTACCTCAAGCAGCAGCTAAACCAAATGCACAATAAATAGACAAACAAAATTTGTCTATTCTAAAGCAAATAATTGTACAGGCTATCTAGCTATTTGTTTTTCTCTATTGTGTATTGCTTATCATTACATCAATGTATGATGTATTTTTTTTTGTTAGTGTTTATGTAAATCAGCTTATACTTTGACATAGATGTTCATTCTCTTGAAAAAAAAACTATATATCAATTATATTCGTGTATATGTTTGGTTCTTTGTTTGATTATAACGAAAAGAAAAAAATAAATTGAAAAAAAATATTAGAAATAATATAACTTTTTTCTGCTTACGTCTACGACTTCTGAAATAATTAACTGATTCCAATTAAGTCTAAGTCAGTTTCAAAAAAAATTTTCAGTAAATTCTATCGTTATTTGAACGTTTAAAATTAGTTTTTGGTGTTCGAATTCGGTGACTTGTCTAAAAGTTTTTGTCTTCTTTCAAAATTTGCACACGATCACCAACACGCATTATTCCATTCTCGCTCGTTGCAAGATAAATCCCAAATTGACCTTTGATACCGTACAATTCCGGTTTGCGGCGGAATCTATGAGAAACAATATACAGTTGTTTATTGAAAAAAAAATAGAATTACGTTTGAAGTGTTTTCCATGGTTCTTGCTGAGAATCACGAATACCTGTTTCTTGATTTACATTTGGTAATAAGCATCTAAAATTTTAAAATGTATACAAATAATATCTTGTTGCTTCGTTTTTTTTATACCGTAGGCACGATCGAAACCAACGAAGTTTAACATGATCACCAATTTGTATTTCTCGCCAGTAATCCTAAATATGATCATTTGCAAGAACATGTATTTCAACAGTAAAAATGTCTTTGTTCTACTTCTCCATATGGTTTATCAACACCATTAACAATAATATTGGGTCGATAGTTATATATCGTAATCGGATTTGGTAATCGTTTATTAAGATCATCTATCGATTCTAGCGAACCTAAATGAAATGGACTCATATCTTGATAAGCGACAGCATCGAAATCAAGGGCTTCATTTGGATACTCTGGTTCAATATTTTTCGTCTTTTGTGGTTCGAACTCGTCATCAAAATAAACTAAATCTAAGCCAGATTTTTCTAAAAATGTCGAAAACCATTCGGCAATATTTCCACCATATCTTCGACCTTTAATAACTGGGTGTCTGTAGGAAATAAAATCAATAGATAGATTTTATTTTTTGTAAAACATACTCCAGTTCGATAATATCTTTCGGTAATGGACTAAAGGGAATAGTTAACGGTGACATTCCTGGCGCAGTAAGTTGAAGACCTGTTGAAGTAAATTGGGGCTGTATGAGTGCCATTCGAGGAAAATGGCGTTGATTTTGTTGTCGAACTCCTTCTATTACCATCCATCGTCTGAATGCGATAAACCTTATGATGTTTTTCTTTTCAAAAAATCAAATACATACCGATCGGAGAGCAAAGGGCTTGATGGTAGTGAAAGTCCATAACGTGTTGTTTGTGCTTCATTTACTTTAATAGCACCACAAGATTTGATGGGATAAATAAGTAATTCTTGGACTATAATTTCTGATGTTGTCATGATGACCTATTAAATAACCAAAATGAAACACGTGAAAAATAGAATGAAGAAGAAACCAGATTGTTTTCTTTTCTTTATTAAAGATTATCATTGGACTGCCCTTTTCTTCTACTATATACGAACACCCGGTAATATAAAATAGAAATGAATACTTTGAAGGTTTTCTTTTAATATTTTCGAATATTAGAAGCTGTTATCAGTACATTTGAAACTGAATTAGCATTAAAAAAAACTTTCTTCTTAAAACTGTAAGCACACGTCATCAGGTATACATAGTTTAAAATAGGCTCTAGCCAGCTCTTTTTACTATATTATTTTTTAAATATAAGATTTTATCAATAATTACGTAAATACTTTACTCTTGGAGTAACGAATATAATTGGTTTATTAATATTTTTTATTTTTTTATCTGAAAAGACACAAAAAAAATGGATATATATATCATATATATTACTGGTGACATCTACTTTTATTCATTTGCCTTATTTTACACATAAGACGTGTTACAATATTGAATAATAAATTCAACTACTATTGATCCATCTGATGTGCTTCTATTCAAACGAATGTTGACCGACCTTGAATATATTTCAGCATAAATCTCTTCAATTTAGGACTAATTACAATGTATTTCAGTTTTTTTTTCTGTACGAACTGAACTACACAAAGATTAACGAAAAAAATGTCATTTACTGTTCTTGGTTGATTCATGTGTACGCTAGAGTTTCACGATGAAATAAACATTAGTCAGTAAGAAGAAACGTCGGTTTGTTTATTTTTACTGTCGCGATAATATATTTGCTTTTAAGCTCTGCCATATAATTCTACAGATGTGAAAGACCTATCCATAGAATAGAATTATTTCTAAACGACTTTATTCAAATATGAAGATGTTGAGCAATGAAAACTATTTAATTTTAAAATCTAATATCCTTTGCGATTAAATCGAATTCAGAATTCAATTCCACGTCTTGATAATTACAGATTATATCGTAAATCTTTCTTGAAAAAATACAGATATTCTGCAATCAAGACAAGCTTTTATTATCGTATAGTATATCTCAAAGATTACAATACGCAAAATAAGACAAAAATGCCTCATCAATTCTTATTTAAATGATATCAACATTTTCCCTGTCAGCGAATGAATAGTTAGAAGGACATAAAACATTATTTCATCAATTAAAAGAGAAACTTTAATATTATCTAAAGACAACTTTAAAAGTATTAAGTAAAGTATAGGATAATCACTGTCGATATTCTCATTAACGCTCAAATCGTTCCGATAATCGACAAGGATGACACTTATGATCGATGTCAAGAGATCTACTACTTTAATGATTTCTTGTATTTGGTGATGATTAATCAAAACAACGATGTTGATCGTGTATCGCATCTGTCGAGTGTATGATAAATCGATGTTTGTAAATGCTAGGAAGAAGAAAAAAAATGTCGAATTTCTATTTCTATCATATCTTTTTAGCAAAACAACAGGGGTGCAGATCTATACAGGAGTGTGGTAAGACTTGTTTGACTTATTTTTGTTCTCTTCAGTATGGCTTATTTGCCGTCTAGTTCTATCCTCACTTGGCAAACAAGAGACGAGGAGAAAAAAAGTTCCATGCATGGATAAAAAAAAAAAGGAAAGTACATCGCACTGTGAATCTCTGATTATCAAAATGGTGTTGTTCTGTTGTTTTCTCTCATATCACCATTTCTTTACGCATTGAAACGATGTATTCAATGCGTAGTAGTGGCGGTGGTGGATATCAATATCCACAAGGAACAACAACACAGTATGTTCCTTTTGACAGTAACCGAACAGCTCAAAATAATACAAATTCACAATCTTATTTTGTTGAACCACATTCAACAAATCCTCTGCCTTATAATGAATATAAGACAACAACAATTCAGCACACTACACAATCACGTCGTGTGAATCCTGCATTAACAATAAATCCAAATCAACAGTCACGATCACAATCTGCGAACTATGGAAAACCAAAATATACCTATAACCGAGACATGCGCAGCGAAATCGATGACTCCCCAATAATTGATCCGAGTGCTTTTCGTTACTTAAATTTAAACGAACGAAAAGCAAAAACAAAGACAACATCTAACAAGGATTTTGAAAGTGGTATCGATACACGACCTATAATTAATCTTGATGCAGTAGCACAATTAGAACGACGAAGACAGCAACTATTAGAAAAGAACAATCGATTACGCGGTGACGATGGATCAAAAGAAGGCATTGATGACAGGTCAATTATAGATTCCAATGCTTTTCGTTATATTGAGGCGAAGACAAGCAAGAGTCAAAAACAGGGTCAAGGTTTTGACGGGGGAATTGATGATAGACCTATCGTCAATCCAGATGCATTCAAGTAACTATCATTCTTCTTTTTGCAAAATTATTATTCATAAAACGCTATTCTACCTGCTGTTTGATTTAAGATATATAGATGCGAGACGTCAAGGCAAACCAGTTAAACAATCAAATGAACCGTCGATCGATACTCGACCAATTGTAGATCCCGATGCATTTAAATATATTGAAAAACGAGATGCACCATTAAAGAGACCTACGGATGGCGGTATTGATAGTGAACCTATTGTTAATCCCGCAGCTTTTCGTTATTTGGAAAAGCAGGGTCCGCCACCTCGTCGTGATGTTCAATCAGGTGTCGATACAACATCCATAGTCGATCCTGATGCATTTCAATATATTGAGAGACGTAGACCAGTAAAATCGGCACCAGCTGAATCATCAATCGATTATAGTCCGATTGTTAGTCCGGACGCATTTAAATGGATTGAACAAAAACATACGACAAGACGTCGTATTAATAATGAACCAGAAATCGATGAACGTTCATATGTTAATCCACAAGCATTTCGTTACATTGATCGAAATCTAACGAAAAGAAATGATATTCCGAAGTCAGAAATTGATTCGCGTAGTTTAATACTCGACCGAAATCCAAATGCATTTGTTCATCTGGAACGTAAAAATAATAAGAATAGAAGAAATGAAATAGAAAGTGGTATTGATCAACGATCTTATGTTGATCCTGATGCTTTTAGATATATTGAAGGTCAACGTAAGAATGTGCAAAATAAAAAAAAATTTTCACCATTCAACCCAATCATTGATACACGATCATATGTTGATACGGAATCATTTCGTCACCTTGAAAGTAAACAAAACACAAAAAATTCGCATTATTATGATCGTGATATTATCGATGAACGACCTTTTATACCGCCGATTGCATTTCGTCATCTTGAATATTCTGAAGACCAATATAATTATCCTTATGATATTTCTTATGCGTTATATGGACAAACAGATGTGTGAAAACTTAATACAGTAGAATAGAATTGTTATCCCGTTATACTTTTATTCTATAGATGTATTTATCATATATTATAATAAATTTATTTGCGACGTAAGGCAGCAACAATTAAAAAAATTGATATTTTATTCTTGTTTTTACACAGATATAGATAATTCTTGTATTCCAACAGAAAGTAGTGATACATTAAGAGAAGTATTCAGATGATATTAAAATAAATAATTTCTTTTGTAGTTGAGCTGTTCTCAACACATTAATTGTACGTATAATAACTTTTCAGAAAAATAATGCTTGTAAAAAACGAAATTGTTTTTAATACCTTTAATCTGATACACCATTTGTTTTGATATAAGAATAGCGGTTAATTTTTATATTTAAAATATGTAAAAACTTGTCTCAAACTCTCTATTCTAAAGAAAATCATGTAGTTTTATATGTAATCAAGTCTTACCACTAAGAGACTATTTCTTCCATAACAGATGGTTAATGGATGAGACAAAATAACAAACAATTACTATTATGTTGGTTCCTTGGAATATATGTATACAAATCTGTTTTTTTTCCTGCTAATATTTGCGTTGATATGAAATTATGTTGTCAATACACTGCTACAATGTGGCACCTAAAAGCTAAATACCACTGCTCATAGATGGCATTTTTCACATGTAAGATAACAAATATCGATGCTGCACGTGTAAGTTTAGATGTGCTCTGACTTTATTTCAAATTATCTTTTTGAGACTATTGTCAACGAGAATCTGACTCGTTGTGTGCTCGTGGAATTCTGCAAGATGAGACGTAGATAGAACAACTACCAAGGTATGCTAATACTGTTTTACTAACATAATGTAAGGGTTCAGAAAAAAAACGAAATTTGCAAAGACCCCAACGAGCTGTTCTTTCGAAGCTAGAGTTAGATGAAAAAAATATCTTGTTCAAGATATTTGAAACGTACAAACCACAAGGCACGAATTGTTAGACTTTATTAATATGAAACCAGAAAAAAGAGGGAAATAATTTGTTTTCCTAATCTCAATGTTTGTTAGCTGCTCCGGTAGGAGCTGTACCACCACTGGAACCAGCAGCTTTATTTCGATTAGCAAAATGGCTATGACCATCACGTACCTAAAACAAAAAATAAAATTATCAACGCAATCCGAATAAAATTAAAATCATATCTTACGTCAGTATTTCGTGAACCTTGACCATCATTGGAAAATCCAACATTACCACCGTCAGCAAATTTTTTGAGAAAGTTAGGTACTACTTGGCCAGCCTGGTAGAATAATAACAATGCAGATAAATCTTCAACTTTTTGAAACTACTTACTTCGACTAATTTTGATACAAGTTCAGGAGCAATTTTTCGATCTGAATCTCGATTCGGATCAAAAAATGATATTGATTTACCCAAATGACCAGCAGGACCTGTAGAATTAACAAATTCTTTGTATTTGCATAGAAAATATTTTTACTAATGGCACCTGTACGACCAATACGATGCATATTTAAATCATTTGAATCTGGTAAATCATAATTAATAACGTAGTCAATTAAAGAAAAATCTAAACCACGAGCAGTAACTGATGTTGCAACAAGTATTGGACAATTTCCACTTATAAAATCTTGTACAACTTGATATCGTTGTTGTTGTGTTCGATCACCATGCATCGTTGTAGTACGAAATTCTTTTTGCGATAGTAATGAACCTATATAATCAACTGATCGTTTTGTTTCAACCAAAATTAAACACCGTTCAGATTCTAAACGTAAATGAATTCAATTTTGTAATAAATTTCGTTTCTTGTTTTGTTTTCCTACTAAGATTTTGTTCGAGTAATTGAAAAAGACGATCTTTTTTTTGTCCTTGTGGCACTTCTTCTATACATTGTGTTCTATCTTCATTAGCATCACCAATTGTGCCAACGGTCAGAAAGACAAAATCGTCACGTAGAAAATGTGTAGCTAATTTTTGTACTTCACTGGGGAACGTAGCAGAAAACATTGATGTACAACGATCATCCTTTGCTGGTAAACCGAGATCTTCTAATTTACGAATATCAGGTTCAAAACCTGTGTCCAACATTCTTAAAGAGAGGAAATCTATTATAAATAATTCAATCATTTTATGCATACCGATCAACTTCATCAAGAACAAAATATTTCACTTTTTTCAACGAAATCTTAATTGATAAAAAGAGAAAATTTTCAAGTTTTTTTCAATAGGAAAAATGAAACAAAAATTTTACTCGGTCTTTTTCAACCATATCTTTAAGACAATCAGTTGTAGCCGATAGAATATGACAACCTTGTCGAAGAGGATCCGATACAGTATGATCACCAACAGTAGAACCTGTTGAAGAATAGAAAATAAAAGAACTGCGTTGAATTCTTTCACAAGATTACAAGGTATCACAGGAGTTTCGAATGCAAATTTTCTTGCTTCGCGTTCTGTTTGTAGAGCAAGTTCACGCGTAGGCGAAACAATCAGGCACAATGGCGCTGGTGGATTTTGGTTTTCAGCTAATTCATCTGCATTATATGAAAGTAAGTTTGATATGATTGGCAGAAGAAAAGCCGCCTAAAACAGTTATATGATTAACAAATACAAATGAAAACTGAACGCGGAAACGTACTGTTTTGCCAGATCCAGTCTGTGCATAGGCCATTATATCATCGTGTTGTCGTATGCAAGGTATTGTATAACGTTGAATAGCTGTTGGTTCTTCAAAATGAGCACGACGAATATTTGACAAAATTTGTGTACCAAGATTTGCTTCTTCGTATAATTCAATTGGTTTTACTTTGCCTGATGAAAAAGAAATTATTAGATTCAACATAAAAACAATAGTTAATTACCTGGTGATGTACATTGTACATGAACTACATCATAATCTCCAAAATTTTCACCTCTTGTAACTGCCTCGCCGAATATACCATCTTCAGTTGTCGGCGCAGGTGATGGAATAAAACGTTCAGTTGGATGACCACTAGCTATGAAAAATGATTAAGATTGTTGCACTATGGAGTATAATATACTTACGTTGATCGAATATATCATCAGATACCTAAATGGATTAATGCATATATGTGTTCCACAGAATAAATGGTGCCTTACTTGATTATTATTATTTCGTCGACCACCAGAGTTATTGAAACTGTTACTACCACTATCTGAACAATTAATGTATGAATATAGAATATTGTTTAAAAAAAAGAAAGTAATCATACCACAAGGTTTTCTTTGCTGAGGACAATTCCTAGCTTGATGGCCTGGTTGATTACTATTAAAAGTAAGAATTCAACAAAGGCGAACAAATAATTTACACATAAAGCATACCAGCAGAAACAAGCTAAACAATAAAAATAAATATATATACTATTTAAATAATTGCGATATAATTACTTATGTTACAGCTGCTACGACCACTGGTATGATCATGATTACCTAGCAGACGAAACTCAATTCTTTTCTATTTATTTAATCTTATCCTACCACGAGCACTTGAACGTGATTGGTTTCTGCGTGGACCTCGACAACCTTTGTTTGAAAAATTGCTTTTCTCTTTAAAAATGTAGATTTTTTGTTTACCTCGACGCCGTGGGCCACCACGGATTGTTGAGTTATGAAACGTTATACTTGTACTATTATTATCTTGAAAACCACTAACACTTGCTTCTTTATGATAATCGATACTTTCACGTTGATCTTTTTGGCTGGGTAGTTTGTTGAACGCTATTGGCTTGCTATCGTTTGATGACGACATTGCACAAGTATTGCAGCCTATAGCACTTGAGTTAAATCCACCGAGAGTCTTGTCACTCTGCGGATTAAGTCGACGATCATCAGAGTTTAATCCGTCAGAACCGCTAGCGTTACTCCGCGAATCTAAAAGACAAGTGCAGACGAATTTTTCATATTTATTTAGCCTTATCTTACGATGAGCAGGTGAACTAATTAGCCTACTGCGTGAGAATTGACGGCCTTTGGTATATGATTAAGCTTTTCTATGTAGATCATAACGATTATTATTTTACCTCGAAGCATTTTATAACCACTATTGATACCAGGGTGGATTGGTGATTTAAGAAAAGTACTACTAGCTATTGATTCATCAGAATCATTGTCTTTATTTGGTGGACTTCGTACACCATTTAGAGAAATCTTACAAATTTCTTTTGTTTTTGTGGCATCATCATCATCTCCATGACGATTGGTTGATTTGTGAAAGTTGATGGATATTGATGAATTATCATTATTATCCGATGACAAAAAATGGATATTACAATTCTCAACATCTGAACTAGAAGCAGCATAATGTTTATAGTATCGACCAAGAAATTCTTCACTCGTCTGATCGGCGTTTAAATAAGTGTCATGTGCTTTGAAACAAAAAAAAATGCTATTTTACTAGATAGGTTGATTTTTCATGCCAATAAACGTTCATCTAAATTATATACCTGTTAGGGAAATGATCGTCATTACTCAATCCAAATTCATGACTGTCATACTGTATACGCCTCATAGATACCAGACAACTTCATTCGATCAATATAACAAGCAAAGTTACAGAAATAAAGAAATCAAATCAGTAGTACTTTGTGGAACTAGAGTGTACATTAATATTTGCATTAACACTTTCTTGATGGTAAGGGGTGCACCACTATTGTGAGTTATATTATAGAAAAAAAAATTGAATTTGACTTTATTCCGTTGCCATGTGAATCGACACAGAAAAGGATACGGGCGTAGGTTTTTCATTACTATCTCACTAGCATTGCGGGAGTGCTAAAGTTGAAACAAGCTCTTCAAAAATCAATACCATTTGGTGATCCTAATGAAATCAGACTCAGTAAGCTGCAGCAAACTGATTATCTAGAAGATTTCTAGTGCACAGATATATGAATAGGTATAAGTACTGTTGATGGATAAAAACTCAAAATTCTCTATCATGAGTTTCTAGTCTCGTCTTTTAGAAAAATGATTTCATCAATATAATTATATCTTATTACTACAATTACCAGATGATAAATTGATTGAATTAATCTTACCTAAGATTGCAGAATCATTTGACTTTGAAGTGTGTAAAGAAGGATCAAGTCCTTCTCGTAATTTGTTTTCATTTGATTTCTTTTCTCGACGAGTTTCAGATGAAACAGCAACTGAAAGTTTTTCAATAAACGATGTGACATCTTTCTGAATTTTCACATTGGGTAATTGGCCAAATTCTCGTTCTAGTTTTTCCAATTGTGTTTTGATTCGGTCTATAGTGATTTCATTGAACTCATTTTCTAGACGAATTTTCTGTAATTCTTCAGTTAACTGAAATAGTTGAAATTCCATCTCCATAAAATGTTGCTCATTCTCTTCACATAATATTTGTCTACATTCTTCGGCTGTTTGTTTAATTTTCTGAATCGACTCTTTTTCCCATATGTTCACTTCCTGTATAAACGGAGGCTCTCCTGGTACTTTCTGTTGTTCAAAAAGTTTCCGATGAAATTGATCACGATGATTTTCAATTTGATCGCATTGTTTAATGAGTGTCTGACGGTGTTCTGTTAAATGATTGAAACAAAAATCGTGTGAGCAGCCTCCGCATTTGAACACGTCTGCCTTTTTTCCACATATGGAGCATTTTGACTCAACAATTGGCTGTGGTGGTGGTGGTGCTTGCCCCATGAATTAAATATTCTGATGTTGAAAAATGTATTTACGTATGATAATGTAGACGACGGGTTGAAAATTGTTAACATATGGTGTGCATGCGTAGCGACATGGGCAAACAAGATGAGTCAGTGTCAACAAATCTCGCTATAATTCTTGTTGCATATTTAAGGTGAGCCATTTTATCTACTCTGCATTTTTATATTTAAAAAAAGGCATCACTTATTTGTTGACGATGCGTCGCATGAAATACAAAAATTGTTATGCAAATAATGAAACAATCGTTATCTTTAATGCATTTCAATTTCATGCCTGTCAATAAATATTTACAACAATATAATTTAGTGACTTCGAGAAAAAAAATCATGCAATTTTTCTCTACTAAAATGTTCATATTTTTGCACAAAAACTAACCGCAGTTAGCCGACGGTTTGCACGACATGGAAAATGGCTCCAACCAAAGTCGTACGAAAAACGGGAGCGCTTTTGCTACAACGCTCGCATTGTTAACATTAAATGCGCAGAAATATCAGTGCAAACTGTTTTGAGTTGAATTCAACGAACAGTATAAATCAAAATGTGTGTTGCATTTAATTTACCGAAGAAATGCCACTCTCGACGTGCGTTTGTTTTTAATGGTGGCTTTGTGTCTGCTTGGATATTTCTCTTTTCTTCATTCACACCCTATTTTTTTTGAACTGCAAATAACATAAGAATTTTTGGAATCAGTTTTTGAAAATAGAAAATCAGTTTTTCATAGCATAAGATTTATTTGGCAAAAATACAATATCCAGATTATATAAAAAAAGCTTTCCGATGAAAATTTTCTTTCTTTGTGAAACATTAAACTGATAAGATATTTTTCTTATAATATAAAACATCAACTAAATTCTTTAATTCAATAAGAACATTTTTCCGTATATCATTGTTAATATTATCGGTATTATATTGTTGCCAGACACCTAATGGTAAATCAATAACAGTGTTTTGATTAACCTTAGTCTTGATGTTCATATCAAGTTTTTTTTTGTCGTTAATTATTGCATTCCATTCTATTTCTAAAGAAGTTTTATATTGTTGTTTTTGAAAATGAAGTATATCATGATGTTTAACTTGTTGACCTTTAATTGACCATTCATTTATTTCACTGTTTGACCAATGAAGAGTATCATAGTATTGTTCAACTTGCCTTTTAATTGAGTCAATGAACAAAGCTAGTTGAAGACTAGACCCAATCGTTAGAATCGGAATATTTGATAATGATTCTTTTTGCTCGTTTTTGAATGACATTGAAGGTAAACTATATTCTTCTTCTTCTTCTTCATTAGTTTTCTTTGTCAATTGAAGTGTAAGTTCAAGTTGATATTCCAGTTCTTCAATGGGCCATTGCTTATCAGGATTTGCAAAAGCACGATCAAATATCAAATAGAGATGTTGTTCTAATGGATGGCGCTTTTCTTTTCCTTTCCATACTCCTTAATGAGAAAAATAAAAAGAATTTATTGACTAAATTATAAAACAAAATTCTTGTTCAATTAACCTGATGCTCTAGTTAGTTCTTCTTCAATAATACGAATATGATGGTTTTTTTCATGTGGTGCTTTTTCATCAATATCTCTCGATTCTCTTGGATAGGATTTTGTAATTAACCAGAAAAGAATAGCACCTATATGGCTTGTATCAATAGTTGAACTGCGACATAAATTATCATCTTGTTCGTTTTTAACGATATGATTTATCATTGATCGTTTCTCGATTTGTGGAACTCGATAAAATATCTGATTTGATTGAGGCTTTTTACACTTAAGAGGGTTAATCAAATCGATACTATCTGAATAAAACATTCCGCCCATTTTTTGATTATGCTCATTGGTTTGTTGATCAATATAAGCTAAATCGAAATCGATTAGCACTAAGTTGATATTCTCAAAAGATGACTGGTTTTGGTTGTTTTCTTTAATCGATGATGTATCTATTATTATATTATGAGGATTAATATTACGATGAATAACATTGCGACGATTTATTTGTTTGACAGTATGAAGAAGTTTCAATGTAATTATTAATGCATTATGAAGATCTATGGATGTTGTTGGGATAAAATCATGTAGAGTAACACCTTCGACATTTCCCATGATAATCCAAGGAGTATTATTTTTTGTATTATTCACATTTGCATCGATAATTTTCGGTACTCCGTTAAGCCCTAAGAATGTAAACAAACTTTCGGTAATCAATGAGAAACTAATTTTTTACCTTCAATCTCTTTTAAAACGGTTTGTTGGTGTTGCGCAAATGATCGAATTAGAGATTGTTCATAGTCATTGCTATAGATTTTGATGGTTGCCTTTATTTCTGAATTTCTTCTATTAATTAGAGAATATGTGATGCCTATACCCATAGGATCCTTTGAGAGAATTTCCTTTGCTGGTCGCCATTCAGCTGGAAATTCTTTAATACCAACTAATTTTGAGGTGTTGCCTACGTACATCCAGCCACATGATTCATAGAAAATAGTCTTGTTTTTATCTTACTTTTTAGTAAATTTTTCTCCGTTGATGTTTCCATATTCCAATCTATGCATTTTGGATCATTACTATTCAATTGTTCACTATGGGATAAAGTAGAAGATGATTCTTTTTCACCTGGATACCATGGTGGGTATTTAGTTCTATTTGTTTTATTATTATGAGTTGTGATCCGCATTGATGATACATTTTGATTTCGAATCCATTTTTCTATAATATCGGTTTTATCATCCCAATCGTACAAATCTCCATTGATCTCTAGTTGACATTTTATTTTATTTGATACGTATGCTGAGTATTGACTATTATGCCATTGATGAATTTTACTTCTAAGATATTTTTCCGATGGCTGACAAATGAAATATGCAACTATTAATGCATTCCTATTTCGATCTTTTGGTAAAATAATATTTGAAGTCTGTGCGTCTGATATATTTAACCGTGTCTTTAATTGTTCTTCGGTCGTTGTCGATGGAAGATTGCTAATTCTTACACGATAAAGATTCTTTTTGCAATCTAAACCAGATTAAAATTAAATAGCGGATAAATTTTATTTAATAGTAAATTTACTTTGAGTTTGTCTGTTCGATGTTATTTGTCTTTTTCTACTGTGACCACAGTGACAGTCTTTATTTTTACAATTGTCCGGCTCATCACACGTAATATGTTTATAATGACAGTCTTTAGAAGAAAATCGGCATAGTCCTTTTTCAAACTCTCGGCACAATTCAAACATGTAGAATGGTTCCGGAATAACATCAAAATGCATTTCAAAGTCACGTAAATTTTTATTTGATATTTTAATAGCCAAGTCTCTTGTTTGCTTTTCATTACCGATAAGTTTTATCCAGGCTTCACTATTTAATTGATCATTCGATACTAAATGTTGATTAAGTTGACATCCTGGTTGTAAAACAATATGGGCAACTGGAACATCGAAGATTGAAGATAATTCTTCACTTGTTACATCATTAGGTATATTAGTTACATGAATACAATAGGGATGTTGAGCAATTTCAATCATGTTCTCTAAAGCATATAATAGAAATCAAAATTTGAACATGTCTATATGTCGATGATAAAAAGGATCCTGTCGTATGTCGTGAACTGTGTCGATTTTGTCAACCCTATATCGGCGGCATAATACTATGACGCTTGTAAAGGTTATAAGCCACGATTTTTACTCACCAACTTGCGTAGAGTTCTTTCTAAATGTCTTTTCTATAGAACTCAAGCTACCCGACAATTTCACGTATTTCTTACACGTTCCTCTAATTCAGATGCCACTGGAACAAAAACAGTCATAGAGCTGATTGACACGCAAATTTGAGGAAGGTTTCGTGGTTGTTCACGTTTTCAGTTAGGTATAGTACCAAGCATATTCATATGTCCGAGAATGTAAGACTAAGCGATAATGATGAAGATGGTTCCTTTTCGGTATGAAGAAGAGCAGCCTAAGTTCTATAGAACAAAATATTTAGAAAGAATTCTACGCAAGTTGTTGAGTGAATTTATTGGACCTATAACTTCTATGAGTTTCACAATATCGTACAACCGATGTCTGGTTAAACATATTGCCGAAGCTCGATGAAAACGCAATTTCTTATACAGAATTCGAAATAGTTCACGAAATTCGACTAGGTTCTTTTCAAAGTAAATGTTTCTCTATCGTTAGTAATGCTTTCGATAATTCTATTTGAAAAAAATGTATCGATCAATTAAACATACTTTTTTGAATTTCTCGAGTTTTTTCAATATGAACATTGATTCCATTGATTACATGTGATATATCACTTAAAATAATTTGATCAACAATATCATAACTGAAAAAAAAACGAATTGAATATTATCAAAACTAAAATCTAACAAGTCTAATAAACAAATATTACGAATTGAATTGAAGAATTGCTTCATACTCATTTAGCCATTGGCAATAAATAACTTTATCGAATTTTCCGAAATACTTGTTTATATCAGATTCAGCAAGTTTCTTTTCCAATCCATAGTCATCTAAAGTTTTTGATATTTTCAATAATAAAGCACAAGTTATTATGCCAGACAATGGAATATTCTTTGGATTATGTCGCGATATTATTAGTTCTTCATTACCATATTTAATCGGTCTACTCTTCATCAATTCATTTAATTTTGCTTCTTGTTTAAAATTTAGAAAAATCTTTCTCAAAGTCCGACCATTCACTACTGTAAAATGATTCTTTTTTTTTCAATTTTATTCATATAGTTTAAATCATTTATTTCTTACCATAAATATTACCTGACTCGATTTTGGGTAATGGTTTGCCGATTTTACTCATAATTATTTTCTCAATATCTTTGTCGTCAATTTGTGTATTTACATTATGTATTACAAGAGAAAGGCGACTTCTTTCAAGGCCTTGTTTAGTTACTTGTTGTGCTTGTGACTATGTAGAATATTCAATAAATATATATTTTACTAGTAAAGAATTTTAACTCACAGAAGCCATTATTTCGATATCTATTTTTAATTAATGACGTATATCTGAAATGAAGATGCAACAAAATATTTCATATGTCCATGCCAAGCAAACAATCAGATTGACACTTAATCAAAAATAACTATCTTAAAATTCTTATTTCTACGTTATGAGAATAATTAACTATGTATTTGTTTGAAAAACAATCCGATTCTATTTACTATTTTCAATGGAAACAAAAACAAGCACGCATGTTTGATTTAATAGTTTCTTTTCGTTCCTACAAAATAAAAGATTCGTCAAGAATTCAAGACTTTTTGTTTTTAAAATCAATGTTGAATTGTCAGGTGGAAATCGATATGTAACATTTTTTTAGTTTTTTTCCTTTGAATTTGTTTTTAGATAAGCCTTTAAGAATTTTTCTCTGATATAAACATCAATAAACTTAAAATGAGAAAGAGATCGGCCAGATGGTCCAACTTTCTGTCCACCCTGCAAGGTGCTCATGATAAGCAGAATAATTCATTTTGGACGCATCTTTCAAAACTTTATAAACCAAAAATGTTACCATTCTCCAAATTATCAGTAGGGACTAGTATCATATCAGACGAGCAGGAGATTACGAAAGAACTCTATAATTACTTTAAGGACTTAGCTAAAGTCCCTGAAATTAATCCATTAGATTCTTACGATATTCAAATCGAGACAGAATTTAGAGAACTTCAGAACTTACTAACTGCTTCTACGGACACGGGCTTAGAGGCTACATCCGTAACGGAAGTCTCAAAAATTATTAAAAAAAGATGAAAGGAAAGAAGTCTTCATGTATCGATTAGGTGTCAAATTTTATTATCAAGTTACTTCCTCCAACCTATATAGAAAGTCTAGTCAATTGTTTCAACTTTTGGTTAAAAGAGGGGAGGTATCCAGGTTTCTGGAATAGCTCGAAAATGATTACCCTCAATAAACTTAAAGCTGGTATACCATGTAGCAATTAGACTAGAGCTATATCTCTTTTAGCGACATTCCAAAATTTTTGAAAAAGTGCTCCTCGATCGAATACGCACTTGGACTGAAGGAAATCATCTAGTGCCGCATGAACAATCAGGGTTCAGAACGAACTGTCTTCTGCAGACTAGGGTTCTTTCCATTTTTCAGGAAGTTTAGAATAATTTAGCTGCGAATATCCCTACGCTTGCAATATATGTCGACTCTGAAAAAGCTTTTGACTTAGTTTGGCATGTGGGTCTCTTGGTCAAATTATTCAGGTTAGGTATACACACTAGCCTACTGAAAATGATTTATAGCTGGCTAAATAACCGTACAGCGTATATTTACTATGGCCAAATGAAGTCAGAAGTTTTTCAGATACGAGACGGTCTTTCCCAAGGCAGTAGTCTCAGTCCCTTTATATTCATAGTATACCATAGCGATTTAGTAGCTTGTCTGGGAGCCCACTCAAGTCATATCTTCGCTGATGACCTCAACGTTCTCATTCGAGCACCTATCCAAAAATCCTTCTCATCTCTAGTCGAGTATTTAGAGGTTGAAGGAAGTACAATATGCGATAGGATTGCTGAATATTCGATTCGCTGGAAACAACCAATCAATATTAGCAAAACGGTCGCACAACTCTTCTATTCTCGAATTAGAAAGCCTATGGTAGACGTATATATGCTAGGACAGAAAATCGCCATTGCAGATCCGTTCAAGTATCTTGGTTTTACTTGAACGAGTAAATTATCATTGAGACCCACTGTAAGCAGAAGCCTGGGGAATATCCAAAGATCGTTGGGTAAGCTCAAATGGCTGCGTAGCGGAAAAATTTTGTCCAAAGATACTTTGAGAAGATGCCTCTTCACGTATATATTTCCCCATCTCGCTTGGATCTTTCCATTTTCCCCCTTTCTCCCAACAACACACCAAGAGGCGCTTAGAAGAAAGTATAGAGTAGCAATACGCTTAGTCCATCGTGCCCTATTTGTTCGCGCTAAGGATCTTTTGAGTTTTACCCGAGATGAACCGCTTAATACTTATGTCAAACGTTATATCTCGAAAAGATTAAAAAAGATGTGTTCTTCAGATTTAGGTTCTTCCTTATCTCTTGAAGATGTATTCCTATGGGATACTTTCTATAAGTTAGCTAAAGATGGTGTTGACCATAGATTTATGTTGAAACGGGTTAAACGTTTAAAACTAAAACACCGCTCCCTTTTCCTCAAGGGGGAAAAGCTGATCCTGGACCCTGTTGCTCCTAATCAAGGATATTAGATTGCACAATAAATTGACTGGAGTGTACGAAAATCTATTAGACGCTACTTCAATCTACTAAATACGTCGGAGTCTGCCACAATGCACCAAAACCTGATTCGCTTTACAGCAATCTTCAAACAATGTAAAAAACATGGATCCTGCTGGATTAGGGGTGTGCAGTTCATGGTCATGAGTGCTGATAGGCATGAGCGTTTCTTCTCCAAATAGAATATGCAAGAAATCAGTAATAATGAACCCACTTTGACTATATTCATATAAAAATACATCATAGTATTTCATACAGTTTCCTATCTAATATATTCAATCGATGCATCTAAATATTTGTTACTCGATGAATTGACAATAAGCGCTAGAATAGGCTCCTTGAAGCTTGGAAAATCATAGTTTCCGAATATTTGTTTCTTAAGCTCGCTCATCTTACTACCACAAACTACCAAGGAACAAAGCTAGGATCTTATTAAATATGTCTAGTAGGGGTAGCACATTACTATTAGCAGTAATAAGTAATAGCTACTATTTCGAATTAATATTAGTAAATAAAAGCCAGGAAAATTAATAAAGTAATAAGGAAGAAATAAAGCAATAAAGAACGTGATCGTGGAATCACTTCTATTTATCAATATATTTCTACTTTCTCACCACTAGGACTACAACAGCTCTCAGATCGTAGTTCAGATCAAATGAACGAAAAAGCTGCTGAAACAGTTCTATTCACTGATTTGCCCACAATCGCTAGATTACCTGCATTCAATCGCTAGTATTATTTGGGCCGTAATTAAGGGTAACCCATTCGAGCCCTTAGGTCCTATCTAGATGTGATCCCTGTGGCTTTTGCATCCTATCTGGAGGTGGTCCCCGTAAATTTTGTGGATTTATACTGGGATGGTTCCTTTAGCCATTTGGGATCTACTTAAGGGTTCCCCTTATGAATTTTTCGGGTCCGTTAAGGATAGTACTTCAAGTTTGAAGATATCACTGCTGGACAGAGTGACACGTTAAAGGAACGATGCTTATATGGGATTGAAAAAATTATAGAAACTGCCAATAATTACGAATAGGGTTATGCCCAGACCGAGACTTTCCATCTTCGACTCAGTCATCATGCTCGAGGTTTTGGTCCCGCTCTTTCTCTTGTTCGCGGCTAGTCTCGGCTCCAGTATTGATGAGTATTGGTCTCGGTTCATCCCTAGTTACGACTGAATAAGTTATAAGAATCACCTCCCACACTGCACCAAAGAATACAAGGAATGCCACTATATATGTACTAAAATGTTGCACAGATCAGCCCTACCCAGTCAGACAAGTAACGAAAAGATCGACGTTGTTATGCGTTAAAAGCGCACATTTTAACGCTTTAAAAAAAATACTTTTTTGTGAGAAAAAAAACGAATCGATACATGTTAATGCTTTTAAACTTGTTTTTAGTCAAAATATATTTTTTAAACGCGTTAGAATGTGAGCTTTTTAAGCATAAAAACGTCGATTTTTTTTCGTTACTTGTCTGACTGGGTAGGAAGTTCTCACATAGTTCTAATTATCATCCTGGGGTAGGTCCAGAAAGGTACAGGACCACCCCTTGGTAGTTTCTTGAAAGTTCTAGGTATCATCTGTAAGTAGAGCCCAAATAGCTAAAGGCACCAACCATGAGTAGACCCTAAAACTTCTGACTACTCCCTCTGACTGAGTCCTTAGAATTTCTAAGTACCACCCTTGGCCAGGCTCAAAACACTTATAAGTATTACCCTTATGTTATTCTTAAAAGGTTCTGAGTATCACCTATAGGTAGGCTCCTAATAGCTATAGGGGCCTGTTCTGGTCTGACCCTGGAAGTTTCTAATACGATCTCCCAGTAGGTCGCAAGTAGCTATACGAACTCCTCCTGTATAAATACTAAAAAATTCTAAGTAATATCTTTTGGCCGGTATTTATTACGGTAATAATTATTACACGTTATTACTTATCAGTTGTTGCTTTTATTAGTTTAAATTTTTTAAACTTTATTACTCGTAATAAATAATAAAAATAAAAATAATTAGGAATATACCACTCACGCTCATGAGCGTAAGCTGTACACTCCTATGTTGCATCCTACTTGATTTCTAAGTATCGAAAAATTCATCGGAATTGACTAACATGTCAATCTTCTCAGTTCACTCATGCTTCTTACCCGAAAATCCTACTACCAATTCCCCCTTTTTCCGATCAGACGTTTTGGATCCTATTGGATCCTGGTGGATCCTGGTGAATCCTGGTGAATCCTGGTGAATCCTGGTGAATCCTATGGATCCTGATGGATCCAATAGGATCCGCTTTCTTTTCCTAGACTGGTTTGATTTTAATGACTAAAGTGATAATTAGAAATATAGGAAAGAGGGAACACGAAATCGTAGTTCATTAAAAGCCCCTTAACATTCTATATCAACCTTTACAACTCCGGCTACTTGTATTCTCTGTTCATCTCGTTACCGCTTTCATTGGCTTCATGGTTTCTTTATCTTTGTTTCTTCCCTCTGTTGCTTGTTACTTCCTATCTCTCCCGTTCCTCCATGTCTCTCTGTTTTGTAAGCACTTCCGAGTGTGACAATAAAACGAGCGTAAACCAAAAAGTTAAAGTGAGATTTTGATAAATATCATTTTAGACGTAAAATCTTACTCTATTATAAAATAAGACCGATAATTATAGTCTCCTCCAATTCTAATGTTTCACAAAAAAATTTCATTTGTTTTCACTGATATACTTTTTGATTTTTGCTCTGCCGAAAAATTGATCGTAATTGAAACAATATTGAATATGTTCCACTTTTTTGCATCGCCATCATATTTCAATTGATATATTTTTAAACTGACATACGTAACTATAATTATTTCAAAATCTTTTAAAGCAAAACATGCTGACAGAATTTGGTGAACATGAATGGATTTACACGTAGATTTACTTTTGGGAAAAAAGTCAAAATCAAACACAGAATTAATTTTCTAAGAAAGAATGAACATTTTATTTGAATTTTAACTCACCAATATTCGAATAATTAAGAATTTCACTTAAATTTAATGAATTTTATCAAACATATCAGTCAGATAAAAATGTTAACATGGTCTTACCGTAAAGAACTACGAGCTGGTGAACTTTGATTACTATAGTAAAAAATTTAACTTGAAATTGAGCTTGATGTGAAGCGTGTTGAAGAAATTTCTAGTCGTTTGAATTTCAGTAATCTCAATTAGCTTGAATAACGTTATGTTATATTTTTAATAAAATTTGTATTTATGCAACAAATCTGTCAAATTTTTATATTTTCCAACTGGGAAAAAGCAGTGTGTTGTTTTTAAGAATTACCCAGTATCGAATAAAAGCCAAACTCAACACTATTTTTTTTCTTCATTCTGTTATGTCATGACGATATGCGTGATTCATTATTTCTAAAGAATCTTACTTTTTAAGCCAATCAAATAAAGTTCAAGTGTTTTTGTTTTTATTTTATTTTACTGATAACTCAAAGCCAATATCTTGATTCTAACAGTACTAATGTTACGGAATAGAGGAAAGAAGGAGCAAAAAAATAGTGTAAATGAATTAACTATGAAGCCTAAGTGTGAATATAACTTTACAACTATCAATTAAGCAGATAAGATAATAAAGGTGATAAAAAAAATCAAAAAGGAGAAACTCATAAAGAGAGAAGAAAACAAAGAAACAAGACGATTTAACAAGTGAATATGCACGATAAGGATGACAGTAATTAGAAAAATCTCTGGGAACTCTACCAATGCGATTACTTCTTCAGGTTCAAAATTAGGACTGGAGTCATTTAAGTGAATGCTTGCACATCAGGAAGTCATTTTTTCTATTAGAGATGAGTACTCAACGTATCTCGTAGAGCGATAAATACCCTTTATTTTGTTTCCTCCATGCAACCGGTTTTCTCTTATTAGGTTGAAATTATTGGATTCAAAAAATCAAATCGTCATCCTTTGTATCAGCTAGTGCAACAAAATAGCGCACATGAAAAAATTTGAGCTTCAATATATGCAAAACATAATCCTCCTTAGACATATCACGTATAGAAATCATTCAAATATTGTTGCTGTTTCATAGTAAATACTGGATACAGCGTGAAAAGCTATGGGGAAATCGGAAATAAATCAGATGAAAAAAAGAGTCTTCCTCAATGATGAAATCATGAAGCCTTTTTTAACTGAAACGAATATATCATTGCCATTCTTTGGTGAATTTTGAGCACTGTATTTTCTTTTAGTGTGTCGAAACGTAGCTTCGAGATAAAAGCATATCCAAAGTGCTTTAATTCCTTTACCCATTCTATTTTCTGAGTGTCACATGAAAGATCGAATTTCGGATAGTCGATAGCTCGGGCAGACAACAATGCTTTTGTCTTGTCATAATTTATTGCTTGAGCTGTTAAGGCACAGTACTATGCAAGGTTCTCAAAAAGCATCGATAACTTTCTTTCGAGTTCAAGATATTGTAATGAGTATTTTGAATCTATTCCCCCGGCCATTATAACTGCAAAATCATTTACGAAACGATTCCTTAAGCAGCAGCTACGTGATTCACTAAGATTACAATGATAAGTAATGAACAACAATGGAGTAAAAGTTGAGGCTTACAGTCCGCCTTTGAGGATGTAAAACCACCTAGAACATTGATCTTTAACTTCTATATATGCTCTTCTGTTTTTCAGCCAATTATCTATCCATATTAAGTAGTTTTGGGGAATTCCCAGTTTTTCGTGCTTTCCAATGCAACCTAGGAACCATAATTGATTGAAGGCACTTCGAAAATCCACCAAGATCGTTCCTACTGGAGAATTATTTGGTCGTCAAGTTTGAAATTTGTGCGACAAACAATAGTATTCTTGATTCCTTCCCAATGTATTTATAAATCTAATTTGAAATAAGTTTTCATTAACTTTGAGAAAAACATCCAGTAGGGATATTGGATGTGCTGCAGCTGGGCCATAAATGAACCCTTTTTTAGCCAAAAATAGTTTCCGACTGTCTTTCCATTTTTCTGACATGATACCTTCTGTTAATGAATGATTAAATATTTCTACTAGTAGAGACCAGTATGTCGATGAAAGTAAGTTGAAGGCAAAGTTTGATGAATCATGTGCATCAAGCGATATCGTTTTCTTATGAGAACGAACTATATTGATAACTTCTTTCGTTGTAGTTACAAGATGGAATTACTTTATAATAATTTTCCCATTGAATATCTGAACTGTCCGTATATGGATGCGATCGAAAGACGTCAGACTTTTTAAAGAATCCTTCACAATAATCAACTGCCACTTGATAATTTATCTCGCCCTATTTTACAACGTTACCATTATTTAAATTAAAGCCATATAGAGCCGAAGATGAAGATTGCATGCATCTTTTTGTTTTGAATCAAAATGCTGCGGACCTTCCTTGGTATTGCAGAGTTTTGTTCAGCATTATAGAGAAACATAGAATCCAATAGAAAAGTTTTTAGTTCTTTCCTGACCACGTTTCTGCGTATTATTACGACATTTTTCAAACACAAGTCTCGAATTATTTTTTGTTTCAATGATAGGACACGCATAAGTGACATGTATGCTCTCAGTTCACCTGGGATTGCAATTTTGTACTTTTTCATCGGCAATAATGTCGTACATCTTGATGTGAGAAGAGATAAAAAAAAACGATTTTTCACCATTGTACACTTTATTAAGTGTAGTTAAATCCCACATAGCTTTCTAAAACGGGTAGACATATTCACAAAAAGAATGAAACACTTTTGAATTGGCGCTGTGAGATAAGTCAACTTTTCGTATGTTTGAATCGTTATTGTGAGTCCTGAAGTAAAGGCCTAGTCGACTGGTCGATTTGATCGTAGAGAAGTTGGAGATTTCTGAATGTGAGGCGAGAGGAAATGAGAATCTGACAAATCCAACATGATGTGTGTGTGTGTGTGATTAGGTACGGATCTTTTCTAAAAGCATACGCTACCACCCACACCCACACCCTTATTAATTTTCATGCTGATAGAACCGCACTACTATACTTAAGATTTTTATATTCAATACGTGAAGGCATTTCGATACAACAACCCATCATTCGATTATAGAATCTTAGCTCTCGAACCTGTCTTCATCAGACTGTCTGATGAAGACTGATTTAGCAACAGCCGAAATGTATTTCATCTTCCTTGAAATCTATTCAGATTAAGAAACACACACCCGGTACATCTCATCACTACATACTTGCTTTGCATGTGAATAATATAGACAAGAACACACGTTGTTAGCTTTTCGATTTTCATTCAAGCCATGACTTAAAATTAAAAGGATTCAAAGAAAATCTTTGCGATTTTCCAACAAACTATAACACGCCTCTATCACATCACTTTGAATTTGATAGACCGCAAAAATTGTCTAATTGCTTGCTTTTTATTTCTTTTTCTTGTGCTGAACTTTCATCGTTTTTTCAACACTCAAATAGCATCGTCGGTTTTCAATTCTCACAACATCCCACATAGTTTTTAGTAAGTCTGTCAAAGTTGCATAACCTAATTGTGCGAAAGGCAATTGTCGGCCATCATTTTCTGATGAATATTGTTGACATAATTCTGTGAATGAAAGTCCATATTTGATTGATATCGAGGAGGTCAATATTGAATAAATATTGTTTTTGACTTCGTCATAAGTTTCAGTGCCAGTACGAACCTGAACAATAATAAAAGTTGACAGTTCAGCTGAAATAATGTAGTAACTCAATGTTAATTAGAACACAAAAGAAGACAGGTTAAGTTTCAAAACATATTTACTCGTATTTTCTCCGTTCTTTGATTAACATCACCATTCTCATTTAAATAACAACGTGTAGGCCACTCTTTATAATTCATAAGTATTATATCTTTCATTGATCCTAAGAATCGTGACAACGTTTCATAGCCTAAATCGTGATAGGGTATTGGTCCATGATTGTAGCGACGTTCATATTCACGACAAAATTCTGTTAATGTAAGACCAGCATCAATTGAAGGTATCAGAGATGATGCGTATAGTTGGTAAATCTCTTGTTTTACACTATCATAGCTAGTAGAAGAGCTGCTCGCCATCTGAAAGGGAAAAACCTAAGATGGGTCTCTATGTGGTTGACGTTTTACTTTACACGATCTTGATGAGTGTTAAGGTGTAGTTTCACTTGTTTATTAGCAAGTTCGATAACATACACTTAACAATAACAGATAAGAAAATCGAATAACAACAACAACAGGGACCGAGTTACTCGCATTCAATTATTTCCAATGAGATAAAGAATACATAATAATAATATGTGGAGAGATAAAAATAGAAGAAAGAAATATAGCGCTATCGAGGTAGATGATGTTAATGAGTTGTGTGTGCACACAGATCATAACAGTGAGTAATATGTTACATTTGGCAGCCTCTAAACTTTGCTTCCTTGTGAATGAAACAAGCAAAATGGGTTAAATATACCCAGGTGAATGAATCCTACACCGGATCCTATCGGATCTGGTAGGATCCGGTCATCCGACAAAATCCGATGGGATTCCGGGTGACGGATCGACTGCCGGTTCCGACGGAAAAAAAAGTATTTTCTTATTTATGAGTGAATAAGCATATTATGTCAACAGAACACAAGGATTATACGGGGGTGTTGGATTCCGATGAATTCCGACATTAGATCCGATCGGATTCCAACACTAAGGATCCGACAGTCGGTCCGTCACTCGGAATCCCATGGTATTTCATCGGTTTTATTGAATCCTTATGAAATCCGATGAGATTTCTGTCGGAATCCGATAGGATTCTGTCATCGGTATGACTCTCCTGGGTATATATTAGATTTTTTTCTATCAAACAAGCAAGATATATCCCATGTTGCGAATACCGGATCATTTCTTGCGGTAATAGGAGCCGGTAACCAGACCGGTAAAACCGCGGTTAACCGTCGAGTTTACACTATCTATTACGATGGATCTTAAAAAAGATTTGAAAATTATTTAATTAAATTAATCAGGTGAATGAGTATAAATATAGAGACGCAAAGATACTCTTGTAACTGAATATTTAATGGTGCGAATCTCTATTTGATATCTCCAATGGATAGTAATATAAAAAGAAGGTTAAGACAAATTTTCTTTCATGAAATCTTCAATTCAAGAAATCATGAATGCAGATTTCCATATATATCTGATATAACTAAGAATTGTATGTTTTCTTTGTTGAAAAATAATAGATGTTACCTGGGCCAGGCAAAACAAGGCATGCATCGTTTTGCAGTGTGTTATATGATATGTGTATAGAATTATGTTTTTTTTTCTTCCTAATGTTTCGGCTGACATGAAATGATGCCGTCAATACAATCCATTACACTTCTTTAACGAGTTACTCGAAGGCTAAATATCAATACACACATTTGACATTTTTGTTATTGATATTTTTCACATCAGCAATAATAACCATGAATGTTTTACGAGTTGAATTTTATTACAGTATATATTTTTTATATGGGACTATTAAGTGCAGTTATGTTCTGTATTGATTTTATCTCAATGTGGGTTTTTCTTTTTGAGTTATTGTTGACGAGATTAAGCTAGCAACTATTTTATTAGAAAACCGCTGTCCTTCGTTTATAATGAGCAACTCAAATGATTCAAAAATATTCTCTCAAACGAATGTTAGATGCTTTAAAGTTTGTACAAAATATCGATCAAGATAAAGTGCAATAGGCTAATAAGATCATCTTCAAGGAAATATTTAACTTGAGGCATGTAGTGAGATAATGGACAATTATGAAGTGGTAAGAAAATTAATTCGTAATGAATCAAAATGATCAATTTGTAGTTTAATAAGAAATGCAAGAACAACCATTGTAAAGCTTCAAAGTAAAAAGTACTCGATAGATTTTCTTTATTTTTAAAAGAGTTTTCAAATTTTACTCTCAATATTTATGAAAATAGTGACGGTCTGACAAGGAGAGCGAGTGTGTGTGGGGTATGCAAATGAATGGCAAGCTGGCAGATATTGTCATCGAAATTGTAATATAATTGAGTAGCTTCCTCGCGGAGTAAAATCTCATCAAAAGATCAAATACCTGTATATATATATAAAAGTATTTTAGCTACATGAAATTTATTAGAACTCACTTATCAGCACATGCAAAAGAAGTAGAAACGATTCCCAGGTCGAACATTGCGGTCACCGGATTCCGTGAGATACTCCAGGAAATATGTGGGAAACTCACCAAATCCTGCAGGAAAACACGGGAAATCGCTGGAACATGGAAACAGTATTCCGGTCAAGAATACGGCCGGACTTTTCCGGCGGAATACTGCTTCAACAAAATCAACGAAACTACCGGTAACTGGCCGTTTCCAAGCCGGACTATTCAACCTGGGTTTGTGAACATATGAAAGTAACTTGATTATTTTTCTGTACATGTCCTATCGTCCTTCAAATGATTTTCACTATTTTTTGATCTATCGTATTTAGCCATTTTAAAAACGTCTACGCCTAATGGTTGCAGTGCGTACGTGGAGTGTCCAGCTAAGATTCAACTTTTAATTTCATCGATTTTTGAAAGTTTGACGATTTTTAAGCAGATATGAGAAGTGTGCCCGTTCATTATTAGAAAAATTGGTCTAACAAGATGGCTTGTTGATGGAATGAATGAATATTGGAGTTCGTGTTTGTACATTGATGTATCAATCCATAACTAAAAAAAAATAAAGTTATTATGAATCACAGTAAATATTAAACATATACTATTTTGTAGCGCCGTACTGAGGCCCCATCAGACATACACTACACCATGTATTCATTGGATGTTTGACTGTTGAGAAAATAAATGGAACCAGCACTTGTTTACTGGTACTTATTCGGTAGCAAGATGAAGGGCGAGATCTTTTGTTACGTCAAAACCGCAGTTCAGAAGAAGTTTTAGTAGAGGGACAAAGTAACTTTCTTGATTCGATGTTAAATATAAAGGACGGCCAGCGCAATTATTGAAAAACAGCTCATAACGATGTTGACGTATGTTAATAGCAGGAATATTGAACTTGATCAAAGCAGTGTTAGAGTCAAAATTGCTCGCTATGATATCAGCTAGAGATTAACATGTATACTATTTCGACGAATGGTTTTGCTAATATGTAGCTAATATGTTCAGGACATTACTGAAGTAGAAAAGGAAAAAAAAGATATTATTTTGTTCGAATAAATAAACTTTCAATGTAACAACTACATTTATTCTATCGATTGTTAGGTTAAATTTCGTTTTTTTTTTCGGTAGCGTCATCATCTTTTTCTTTTGATCATAAACAACTATTCATGTATTCTTCATTGCGCAATGAAATCACGAGAGAGAAAGACAAATAGTGGATGTGCTGGTGTTGAAACATACAACCAACTTATATTACTTGAAAATTACGATTAAAACACAGAAATAATTATGAAGATATGATTTAATTCAAGATTAAATCAGAGTATTGAATCATATTGAGTAAAAATTCCCACTCATCTCCAATCCCTTCACCACAGATCGTTAAAAAAGTACCAATTAATTAAGTTATCTGTCATAGCGCTATGAGGAGATGCTGAGGGTTGAATTCAAATATCTACCCTTCATACTCTAACACTTCGTTTAGATAGGAATGTTTCGCAGAATCTCTTCTCCCATGGATTTACTGTTGACTCTAAGTTACGTAACAGTGTTTAATGTTACAACTTTTTCAGTGCCTGAGATCTGAGACGAGATACTTTTTTGCCAATAAGGTGAGTAAGATGATTTCTTGAGTTCCTCTGGTATATTACTGTTTTTGACGTATCTTTAACTGTTAACACCTTCATTTTATCAAGATTAGGTTTTAAGTTGATCTTAAATTTGTAGTGTGTAACATAAGCATTTGTTGAAGTTAGCATTTTTTCACTGATCCACCAAAGAGACAGTTGTCGCCTGTATCTTCGGATACACTGAACGACTAATAGATTGTTATCTTGACATGGACTCCAAATGACTGCCAATTGATAGTACTAGGATTAAATCAGAAATTCTTATATATACAATCGCAGTGGTACTTCCTTTATTCCGTAATGATCATAGTTATTGCAGCAATTAAATGATAATTTGAGAACCAAATAATACGATCAATAATCGGCTTATAAAAACTAACGATTGATACTGAATGTAGGGATTGAAATCTTGTTTTTTGTTTTGTTTTCGTATCGCTGTTTCATCTAGAATCAACAACAGCGAAACTCGGAAAATGCAAATTAGAATGTATAACAGCAAAAGAAATTACACATTCATCGTGGTTCGAATCATATCAAGAAAAAACTGATATATCTATTCAATTTAGTATTCTTTTGTTTGAACATATGTCGGGTATTTTCTCAACAGCAACATCATATGTATATCATCGAAAATAGATGGAAATATTTTGATTTTTCCTCGTTTAGACTTTAAGTATAGAATCATTTCCATTATGAGCAATTGAATACAAAATAAAAGGAAAACAAATATTTATAGGTGAACGACTAGGCGTACAAGGAAAAGCAAATTTCGATTCATTAGTCGCTAACGTGGAGATGACCTTTGTATATATTTATTTTAATTAAATTTTTCATACATCTCATCGCATGCATATTAATAACAAATAAAACTACTAAAACGATCCGTCAGCAACATATTTTCAAATAAAAATGATATTTTCGTACTGTATTATAGCAATTCTTATAGTTTTTTCTGCACACCTAAGTATTTTTCAAGGTTTTATCATTCAATTATAATACTGAGAAATTATATGAACTTCTTATGTATTTATCAGCAGCTGGCGACAGCACTGACAATGATTATAAAATGTCGAAAAATTATATCAAAATTTTATTTTATGATGTTATGAATGATAATAACCAAAAGAGTTCTTTTAAGAGTTTTTCTATTTTGTTGAGTTTTCCATTGTTTTCAGTGTTAACGAAATAAAACATGATCGCTGGACGCTTTAGCATTTCTTCAGCCCAGAATCCCAAAGGATTCTGTCGGTCGGTAGGATCTTTCAGAATTCGATCCGATTTCAAATTCATACACATGAATATTAAAATTATACGCATTCGTTCTGTTACTAGGATTGCAATAATCTTATTCACGCCTGTTGTTTATATCGTGTATCATATTATGATGCTTAGTCTTTCCACTATAAGTAAATATTCATCAATCAGTGGATCTAGCTACTGCGATGTATGTTAATTGTAAAAAATCATTTGAAATAAAACTAGTTGTTACGGAACAATAAATTTGATAAACAGAAAAAAGGCTAAGGCAAATTTTCTTTAATGAAATTTCCAAGTCCAGAAACCATGAATACAGACATCCATATGTTTGATAACTGAAGAATAACAGATGTTTCCTGGACGAGACAAGACATAATTAGCATCGTTTTACAGTGTGCTATGTATAGAAATGTTTTTTTTTCTTCCTAATATTTCCCTTGATATGAAATGATGCTGTCAATACAATCTAACACCTCTTTAATGTGGCATTCGAAGGCTAAATTTCAACGCTCATGTATGACGTTTCTGTCATTGACATTTCTCACATCAACAACAATAAACGCTGTACGTGTTGAATTTCATTTCAGTGTATATATATATTTTTTTTTATATTGGATTATTAGGCACAGTTATGCCCTGTGTTGATTTTACCCGAACATGGATTTTTCTTTTCGGGTTATTGTAAACGAGATTCCGGTTCATTATGTGGCGTTGGATGTTTAACTGGTTATCGTATGATTGATGGAGATAGTTTTCGTGAATGTCAACAAGACGGAACGTGGACAGGACAACAACTAAAATGTGAAGGTATGACAAAACTGTGTGACTAACATCGAATAATATTTTTAATTAATAGAAATTCGTTGTTCTCCATTAAAAATGAGTACTCAAACGACTCAAGAATGTTCTCCCACGCAGAATACTAGTAGCTTTAGAGTTGGTACAAAATGTCGAGCAAAATGTAGTGCAACTGGACATCGATTAATTGGGCCTTCTACACGTGAATGTCTAAGTTTAGGCATATGGTCAGGTTATGAACAATCTTGTATTGGTAAGAAAATCCACAGATAAATCAAAATGAATATTTTGTGTTTCAGTTAGTACTGAAACAACAATAACAAAAGTAAAAACTACAACAACAGCAACAACAATAAATAAACTCTCAACAACAGCTATTCAACGATTTCGCGGTAGCAACGCTTGATTTTGATTTTTCTCGTGTAATTCTTCTCTCTTTATTTCTAAAAGATTATTCAAATTTCGCGTTAAGTATTAATAAAAATGATACAGGCATTGTCGTACCATTGGTTCAACCATCACAATTTACTATTATATTTTGGTTCTATCTAAACAATGGTGCGAATGTTTCCCTTATTTCATTACGTGAGGATGATGATAAAAAGCAATTTGAAATAATTATACGAGAAAATAGGTAAACACGAAACATTTAAAAAGTATACTTGAATGAATATTAATTCTCTACCGAAAAAGACTTGTTTTTTATTATTTATCTCGCAATCAAACTCAACCGACATTAATAAAAATTCCTATATCAAAATGGAATCATTTTGCATGGACGTATTCGAAAAAAGCTCAGCAGTCCTATTTATATATTGATGGTACACGTCAACAATCGTTTGATTTTAAAATAACAAATCTAAATTTTGAAAGTAAGGAAATCAATTGAAAAATATTTGTTTCAAATGATCGAAATCTTTATTTATTTTAATTAGATATTTCATCATTGGTTTTATTTCATCGAACATTTCATGGACTTATGACAAGATTGGAAATTTGGAAAGAAATAATCTCGGAGCAAAAAGTATTGATTAGCTATCGTGATTGTAGAAAACAAAATGGTGATGTTTTTTCATGGACAAAAATATCAGATCGACTTTCATTCGACGCTGATAAATTGAAAACATCGTCATTCTGTTCTGGTAAAAATACTTCTTTTCCTATGTTTTGAAAAAGAGCAGGACCGAGTAGCCCGCGAATACGGATGCGCCACACTGACACTCTCAATACTTCTTAATTGATTATAGGATGTTCGGAACCTGCATCGATTTCAGGTGGAATGTATAATGTATCTGATTATGAAGTTGGCTCATCTGTAGAATATAAATGTAATTATGGTTATGAAATGATTGGTTCTGATCGTATTTATTGTATGGTACCATCGGAATGGTATCCACTACCACCGATTTGTCAACGTAAGTGATATTGATTGTTCGTTCAAATAGGAAAATGTATAACATTTAAAAAGATAATCCATGTACATCGAATTGTGGGCAATGTGACAAAAATTCAGGTGTTTGTTTAAGACAACAAATTAAATTAGATTCTCCTTCTACCGAATGTGATCCACCCTGTGATGACGATGAAGAATGTATTGATGGTGAATGTGCTTGGTCGAATCTCGGTGACAAATGGATGTTAACAGCAGATGATACTATTTGTAATCCGCCATGTCCATTAGGTGCACGATGTATCAATCGACGATGTGAACCTAATCTGGCGCCTTCTTGTTCAGTCCCGTGTAGACCTGGTCAACTATGCATTGATAGTCGATGTGGCTGCTATAAAGGTTTATGTGAAAATGGTCGTGACTGTTTTGAAATTTGTGACATAGGTGAAAATTGTCATAATAGATCATGTAGTTGTGGTGTTCGCGGTAAATGTGGCAAAGGAGAAATATGCCTATCCGATGTTTGCATGTGTGGTACACGACGTGGCGGTTGTTCTTTACAGGAAAGCTGTGTAAATGGAAAATGTATTCGAAAGACAAATCAATGTAATAATACATGTAAATCGAATGAAATTTGTATCGATGGAAAATGTGTTTGCAAAGAACAATGTGAAAAAGGTAACAGGAAGAGAAAAATAGGCAATTCTATTTTTTATATATTTTTGTAGTATTTTGTCCATTTCCTTGTTTGAATGGAGGACGATGTACAGGTTTTTATCAATGTACATGTCGACAAGATTGGAAAGGTCATCGATGTGAACAACGTCAAAGAAAAAATATAACTTTATCTTAGACTAAGAATATTCTTGATGATGAATAAAATAATAATCAATTAAAAATCAACTTTAGCAATATATTGATTGATTACAGGCAGCAAAACAAAAACCCGGTCTCAAATTCTCCGCTGAATTTTACGAACAAGTAAAAATTTATTTATAAACTTGCAAAGGACGTCCCCCTCGGGATTCATCAGGACACTGCGACGTATGTTTATGATAAAAGTTTATCTGTTTTTGAAGTCACTCATGATTTCATGCAGATCAAAGCAAAATTGAATACGAAGTCAAACTTCGTAGGTGTTCACGAGAATTGCGAATAGCAAAAAACTTCTATATTAATTCATCATAGTCTATTTTTGTTTTCGAAAATTATGTTCAATTTATATCAAAGAAAGTACCCAAGTTATATACTATTGTATTCAATGAGTCGCAATGCCAAATTTATGCTATGCTGATAATTGATGAACTTGTTGTTGTGTTGAATTTGAATTAGCATAATGTTTGCGTTAGGGTGCCGAATTGAATAATAAATGAAGTAACGCTTCTCTTTTTTCCATTAAGAATAAAAGAGAATTATGAATTCTATGAAGCATCATCTATTCTCATTTCATTCGAAAAATAAAACTTGACTAATTCTACAGAAACTTTCTTTTTCTCCAAATATTTGTGAATAACATCTAATTTGCATGCCATAATCCAGCCGGAATATCGTTGTTGTCAATGATTAAGTACGTTCTATTTGTAGTTTATCAAGCCATAGATAGAATAAAGTTGAAAAAAGTCCTACGAACGTTTTTTTAAGGCTTACAGCTCTTGGGAGTTATTAATCACGGATGACTAATTGAGAAGAAAGAAAACAATACTACCGTAGGTGTATGTAATACATTAAAAATTTTATTTGAAAATATGTTACCGCATTTTCTTTTACCGTATACATACATAGAATAGAAATAGGCAATTTCCGTGTCGATTTGAGTCTCATTACTTTTATGACTAGCAAAGAAAAACAATGAGAATTCTTAGTAAAAATATTCACAAAAATGACATTCATGAGTTCATTAATAAATGACTAACCTTATTTGATTAGAGTGAGGAAAATATTAATCTTCTAACTCGTTCTCAATTGAAATACAATTAATATTAGAATTAACATTATGAGGCGTCTCGTCAGATATTTCTATTTTAATCTAATTTATATATTGTTAGTACTTTCACTAGTTGTTCTTCATACTTCACTTTACGAGTAACGAACAAAATCCGAAACGTCTCGGCTATGTACTGCTAAGGAAATAAATAAGATTTGCTTTCAATGGCGTTGCTGAAACTGAGTGTGCTCAAGTGTAGTGTTGATAAACAATAGTCATACTCACACCCTCAAATTATCTTTTTTTATTTATTTTCATTGCCAAACAAATAAGAAGTGAATCCGGAAAAAAATAAGTCGGAACTAGTTGAATGAGACACTAATCATATAATGTATACTCAAGTGTTCATATCTCAATGAAAATGTTATCAAAATTGACATTTATTAAATATAGTTTTGATTCATTCAAATAAAAATAGCATACGAAGATTTCTATGAGAAGAAGAAATTCTTTAATTAAACTCAAATCAAAATCGAAATTGTCTATTTCCTAAAGTACAACATTAAACAAAATATATTGCACACTGTTCTATTGATCACTCATACAAGAGACTAGATAAGAAAAATAATAAACACACCAAGTGCTAAAAAGTAAGAGATGTAAAAATGATTCAATTAAATTTCCATAGCCCATGCTTCATAAGGACGAAATTCGAGCCAATCAGATCTTTTGTGTTTTTCATAATTACTAATTAATATCTGTTTACGATTTTTGATTTTTTCACTAAGTTGAATATCATTAATTATTATTGGTTGTTGACTAAAATTACATGCAACAATTATCTCTTGTTCATTATCATTACAACGTTTATACATAAATATATGAGTATTTTCATCGTGTAATATTTCATATTTTCCATTCGTAATAATCGGCATTGTTTTGCGTAGTTGTATAAGTTTTTGATAGTAGTAAAATATGGATTGCGGATTATTTAAGGCTTGTTCAACATTAATATCTGTATAATTAGAATTGGCATTAATCCAAGGCAAAACATTAACGGCACCATTTGAAAAACCACCATGCGGTAAATTACCGGACCATTGCATTGGTGTACGAGCATTATCGCGAGACTTAGCATAGATAGCAGCCATTATTTCTTCTAATCTTAAGCCTGTTTGACTTGCTTCGCTATGAAAATTGGTGGTTTCAATATCACGATAATCGGCTAATGAGGGAAATCGAACGTTTGTCATACCTAACGAAAAAAGCAATGTTGATTATCAGTGAATTTAAATCACTGTAAATACAATTCCAATTTAATAGAAAATAAAAATAAAATTGATGAAATTAGTTTTATCCGCAGGGCAATTTTTTTTCTCATCAAGATGAAACACTTTTATTTAATCTTTATTACATATTATAGAGATTTGGATAATGATTTTTCTTTTTGTTGAAAAGAATATTGATTCTACATCAATGAGATGTTTCTACGTTAGAAATATCGTTCAAAAAAAGCTGATTCATACGCAACTAAAATAGCAATGTGCTTTAATATGTCGTCAATTACTCAAATCGAATGCCATGGAATGTCAAGGTCAATAGGATGGCTTTTGTTTTGTTTTTAATGAAAATAACTCGATACGTTGAATAAATAATAGCATATGAAGAAACTACGGGGTACCTAATTATATGTAAATTTCATAATGAATCGTTTATATGGACTTAATTTTGTACTATAGTACGAACAGAAAATTTGTAAGGCCTCTTTTTTTTTGTTATCTTACCAATTTCTTCTCCTTGATAAATAAAAGGTGTACCACAAAGAAAATGTAAACAAGTAGCGAGCATTTTTGCTGATAAATCTCTATATGGTGCTGTATCATTTCCCCAACGTGAAACAATTCTTGGTTGATCATGATTATTCCAATATAAACTATTCCATCCTTTATCATATAAACCTTTTTGCCATGAAGTAAAATGATGTTTTAAACATCGTAAATCAAGCAATTTCGGTGTCCATTTTCCACCATCGAGATCGAGATGTTCAACTGTTAATATCATATTTAATTCTTTTCTTTCCGGTGCACTAAATAGCTCGGCATCATGCAAATCACCACCTTCGGAAACAAAAGAACTATGAATTATTCGAAATTTTCAAAATCTATATTTTACCTGGACATTCTCCGAAAGCAATAACTTCGTAGTGTTGAAGAACTTGTTGATGTATTTCGTGAATATATTCATGTACACGTGGTCCATTAATGTAGTATGATGAACCATCTGTATATTGGCTTTTCTCATTATATTTTCCTTCAGGATAATGAGGACTTTTTGAAATAAAATTAATCGTATTCAAACGAAATCCATCAACACCTTTCTCAAGCCACCAACGCATTACTTTATGCATTTCATGACGTACCATCGGATTATCCCAATTAAGATCAGGCTGCTTGGTTGTAAATGTATGTAAATAATATTCACCGGTGATAATATCATATGTCTACCATAGATAATAATAACAATAATAATAATAATGAACATAAAAGATTAAGAAACAAAAATAAAACTTTTTTACCCAAGCAGAACCGCCAAAACATGCGCCCCATTGGTTTGGTGCTTTTCCATCATTACTTGGTGCCCAATGATAGAAATGTCTATATGGATTATCTTTACTTTTTTTCGATTCAATAAACCATGGATGTTCATCACTCGTATGATTAATAGCTAAATCCATAACTAATTTTAACTGACGCTGTTTCATTTCTTTTAACATTACATCAAAATCATCCATGGTACCATATTCAGACGATATTTTATAATAATCACGAATGTCATATCCAGCATCATAGTTAGGCGAATCGTAAATAGGACTAAAAAATTCAACAATAACAAAAAACAATTTTTATGTTCTCATAATTGATATTTTTCTTTACCTTATCCAAATAATGTCAGCACCTAAATTTTTAATATAATCAAGCTTCATTGTTATCCCATTTATGTCACCAATACCATCTTCATTTGAGTCAAAAAATGATCGTGGATATATTTGATAAACAACTGAATAATGCCACCAGTCGCTATTTTCTTTCACCGACATGATTAAACCGTTCTACAAAAGAGAAAAGAAAAAAACAATGCAATGCAACAAGTTTTTGTCTGAGAGTAAATTAGAAAAAAAAAGAACTACATATTGCTTTTTCTTTTGTCGCCTATAGACTAAATAGAATGCATCGGATAATAAAGCTGCCTAAGTAATTATTAAATAGGAAGGTTATCAATTTGAAAGTATTGCTATTGGATGAGCATAATGACAGATGTAGAGGTCGCTATTCTACAACATATAAATGGATTATATATATTTATAGTTTCGAGTAAATTTAAACGGTATTCTAATCGAAAATGTTACTCGTGAATTAGCATTTTTAATTATAAAAACAAGTTTGACTGGAAGTTCAAAAATAAATCTTCTTTCGTGATAGATTTCAAATATTTGATGTTATATGATACAGACTACTTTATGATTACTTTGGCCAAGAAAATATGAAACTTACTAATATCATTTTCTTTCAATATTTGTACTAAAAATCCCTATCAGTTTAAATGTTGATCAGCAAAACTTGTTTATAGCCTTTAGTTTTTTATTTGTACGGCGTAGGCGTTTTGTTTTCTGTGCACGATCGAACTTTTCGAATGTTCCTACCATGCCGCGCTGCTTCGATTAAAAAGTATTATGACATCACATTAAATATTCAATTTTTGCCTTATATTCAATCATATAAAACTAAATATACTGATAATTAAAAAATAACGTTAGCGCAGTCAGAGTAATAAAAGATCTCAAACAGCCGTCTAGCCATAAAGCTGTGCCATTATTTCACTTTTCTATGTAACAATTAATTCTAAGAAACTTTGTTCTTATGATTCATTGCATATCTAGATGTCTAATTATACTTGTAAAAAATTTCCCTCGATACTATAGTATATTATCATCCTATGAATGGTCGTCTATAATTGTCAATACACATTTCAATGAACTGTTATATTGCAATTGACTTGACTTTCATCATTCTCTCTTCGAGTCATACTGTTTGTTAAGCGTGTCTTACAGAAAAATAAAGCTTCATAGAAACAACAAGTATTGTAAGATTCGTCAGTTTACCCATAGCATTTTTTAAGCCAGGAGCGAAGGGAAAGCAGAAGTGAAGAATTTGTAATTTGAAGAAAAAAAAAAAAAAAAATAACGCTTGCAACTAGAAACCNTCCATGTTCATATTTGTGAGAGATCAAGCGGGAAGAAAGTTCACTTACAAGCGCGCAATCAACCGAAATAAATTTGTTTTTCTTTAAAGAACGCTTGCTACGAGTCACCACCCACTACCTTTCCCGCTCCGTCACATATCTACTTTATTTTAAAACATTTTAGGCAATCTTGCTGCACGACTCGAATCAAGCCCGATACTTTAAAGAAAAACAAATTTATTTCGGTTGATTGCGCGCTTGTAAGTGAACTTTCTTCCCGCTTGATCTCTCACAAATATGAACATGGAACTCCGAAAATAGTAAAAAAAGATGAATAAGTTTAACATATTTGTACAGATTAAGTGCGTCATATGTGCTGATAGATATTATGTCAATATTAGATTACTCTTTACTTTCTTCTTAAAAGAGCCTAAACATTGAATTATTATTTTGCTTATCACGTAAATTTCTTTTTGCTCTAGAGTACGGACTATTCGTTATCTTTACCATTTCATCAAAATTTTCTTCGAAAATTAGGATTCATTTGATGCATATTCATAGAATAATTTAATGCAGAAGTACATATTATGTTTTTTCGTATTCAAATTGATTTCATATATGATAAAAATTTTGTTTGAAATTCAAACATCTTCAGGGCATTCCTGACAAAAACAAAATTACACATATAATCAAGTAACACAAAGTCAGGTACATCTGAACTCTGTAAATGAATTAGTCCAATAAAAAGACAAAAAGATTTCCTATCTCTTCTAATTAAAATTTGAGTCTTATGGGGTCTTTTGTACATTGAAAAAAAAACTTGAACGGATACTTGCAAATATATTAAAATAATAAAAACGCAAACACTAGTAAAAATTCCCATGATTCATATCCACAGGTGAAACATATAGAAGAAAAAAGTGATAAGAAACAATGGATGCATGAAAAATGAAATTTCGTTGAATATTTTTTCTTCAACGAAAGACAAAAATTGATACATGAAAATAAATGCAAGATTCAAACGCTGTATAATAGCGCGTATTAATTTCATATTAATAAATGAATACTGAAATCCTTGAATTATTTTTATCGAACGAAAAAATAGCTGTGACGTATTTCTTATTATTTGCTCGTGTTTTTTTTCTGAGAAGCATAGAAAAAGAGAGAACAGCATGATTGCTTTCTTTTAAAAAAATAATTTCGCTTACCTTATTACGAAACGCTGTGTTCTCTTTCAGTGCAAACGCTGCAGTGTAGAAGAAAAACAAGATTCAAATTCATATTTGCACAATAATACGGTAATAAATATTCGTACAAATCAATGTTAAATTCATGACGACGACAAGCAAGCGACGTAAAAAACCCTTAAACAGAAAACGTGAGAAAGAAATATTAGTGTTTCGAATATTTCTTGTCAATTATTTATCTAGAATCCAGCGATGCAATTACTAAAGTCAACATCAATCAGCTATATGACTTAGTAGACGATCATAATTTCATTGCAACAAATGAAATATGTTCTGGTGCTATTGGTTTATTTTCTGTTTTATTCAATAGAAATATTATCGATGCATCTTTTTCCAAATTATATCAACAGAGGTAAATTTAATAATAATTTCACAGGTTAGATATTGATTTTTTTCTAGTTTACAATGTGGATGGGACTATATATTCACACAAGAACGACAGAAATTGAAACCTAACGATATTTCTGTCTTAAAATCTTTTGTATTAAATCGATTATTAAATGAATATAGCAAAGTAAGAGTATGAAAATTACGTAATACTGTTGTTTTTTCTCTCTGACTCTTGCTGCGTACTCAACAATAATCATTTAGCAAACTCAAATAGGCGGAGGGTAAATAAATATCACCGCTTTCGTTTCTTCCATCGATAAAAAAAAGCGCGATTCGTCTAGAAAAATATATCAACCATTTGCCTAATAATTCTTGAAGGCTTGAAAGAAGAGGAGAAAAAAAAAGAAATTTTGTATTAGGATAATTCATACACGTTTGATCAATTGTGAAGAATTTATTCATATTAGTTGAATGCCAAAAACTGAACGAGTGCAAACTGATTAAACGTGCTTGTATTATCGTATATTCAATCTTATAAATGATGCAGGATTACAGGCGTATTGAACAAAAAGTCCAGCAATATGTATAGTTCAAGTACAAATTGCAGTGACAACGCGAAGGACATTATTATGCAGAGTACATTAACGTGCAACTGAAAGCATATTGTAGTCACGCTTCTTTTCGTTGTGAAGTAACCATAGCTTTTCGATTGGCTATAGCAATATAAGTACGAACACATACGTTTGCGTGAATCATAACTGAATAGAGAAGAAAAAAAACTCAAGTTTATCATAAAATGTACTTTTCTATTCACGAAATCTTTATGAAATACAATAACAATGATTAGATTTAAATTATTTGCGTTTCCTTCAATAAAAATGAACGAATAATGAATTAAAAATATTGTATTTTTAATTATATATTCTATTGCAGGATTCGAATTTATTCGTACAAAAAACAAAAGATTTATACGATGAAATTCATTCGCGCATGGCTAGAAACTTTCCACCATGGGTAAATAGTTCATGACAAATATCGGATCTATTCATGATTCTTTACAGACGCCCGAAGATTTTTCTGATGAAGTTGGTCGTTGGCAAGATATACAATGTCGACGGCGTCTATTCTATTTCGATCATCAAGAACTTTCACCGTTATGCGGTTTATTGATGCTACAAAAAGCGTATGTACTCAGTCGTTTAATAGAATTCTTTTTGATTCGATTTGCTGATATTAGTGCGACTAATTGGTGTCATTGTCTAATCAAACATTGTCAACAAAATAGAAGCTTTTGGGAAACAGAAGGTCGTAAACGTTTTAGGGATCATTTTCAACGGTAAGATTTACTTGCTATATTTTGACATTAAAACAGTGTTAACTTCACATTTTTTCTAGTTCATTTATTATCGTTGCGCAACCGACCGGCCCTGAAAACATACCTGTTACTCAATATATCAAGACTGCATCTGGTCATACAGCACGATTACATGCACGCATTATATGTTTATTCGATCCTGATATTCTCAAAGATTATCTAGAATTATCAACTATAGGTATTTATATATATATATATGTCGTCGGATAGATTAAAATCCAGTACAGTTTTAAATCGAACTAGGACAGATTAAAATTTTAATTTTTCCTAGTTCAGATTAAAATTTTAAAGTGAACTAGTTGACTTCGAAATGCATTTTAATCTC